GGCGCACTATGACTGCTGTTGCATCATCCAGGTGGATGCTGCACATTGGTGGTGGTGGAGGGGAGTCCCCATTACCTGTAAAGTGCTTTGAGTGGAGTGTCCAGAAAAGCGCTATATAAGTGTAAGCAATTATTAATTATTATTATTACTTTCAACAACAATGAGCTCCTCTAAGCAGCTTTCTGATTCAGTCTTACAAAGCGGTTTGAATTTCCAGTTTGAAATTTCAATTTTTTGAAACATCATTAAAAAATGGAAGTTACAGGGAACTGTTAAAATCAAGGCAAGATCTGAAAGACTCAGAACAATCTCATAGAACTTTTGAAAACTCGTCAGATCTGCATAGCGGAACCCCCAGATCACTGCAGAGAACCTGAAGAAAAGTTTAGTTGACACTGGAGAAGTTATCCACAGGTCCACAGTATAGTGTTGTTTGCAAAAAGGTTATCTGCATGGGAGAGTTGTCAGAAGAAAAACCTTTCAATGACTATCACAAAACACCTGAAAACTTAAAGCCTGCACAACAAAACGTTGATCAACAAAGTGCTGTGGAATTATGAAAATAAAGTTTTACTTTTTTGCCACAACTGTAGAAGATACATTTAGAGAAAAATGGGTGAAGCGTTTGAAGAAAAGCCATTAAGCATGGGGGGAGATCTGTTATGTTTTGGGTTTGTGTGGCAGCCAGTAATACAGGAAATATTGTGTTGGTGGATGGAGAATGGATTCGACTAAATATCAACAAATCTTAGAAGCTAATGTTCCAGAGTCAGAGAAGAAGTTGAATCTGTAAAGAGGTTGTACATTTCAGCATGACATTGATCCCTAAAATACCATCAAAATCAAAATACCTGATCAAAATCAACCATGAAGTACAAAAGGTAAGGTTTTGGAACTGCCTTTACAGTCTTTTTAAAAATCTGAAACATACATTTATATAACAGTTCCTTATGTTAAGTATGGAAAGGTTTGTGTGGTGTATTGAATGACTTCCATTAGTGTAGTGTTACTGTATGTGCTGCTTCTTCTGTGACACCTTAGATATTTGCTTAACTGGATTAACTGCATTGTTTCCTGCATAGGGACCTACTCTTTAACCAAATCTACCCCAAGCTGGTAGAGAACTCGGTGGCCCGGGGAGTGTTCCTGGAGTGTCTAGAACCATACATCCTCAGCGACCGGCTGAATGGCCTCACTGTCCATGTCATGAAGGACCTCCTCTCTCACTTCCAGGACAATGGAATGATGGACAGTGTGGAAAACTGCCTGGTCCACATGGACATCACCAGCCTAGATATCCAGCAGGTCAGTGTTCTCTGCTTAGCCCCCTGCTCGTATACACCACATTTCTGCTCTCACCTTTACTCAGTGTTTTGGATCAATGTGTTGTTGTGGACCTGTACCTCATATAGCACTCATATATATATATATTTAGAACTCATTTGGCGCTTTTCTGGACATTCCGCTCAAAGCGCTTTACAGGCAATGGGGACTCCCCTCAACCACCACCTATGTGCAGCATCTACCTGGATGATGCGACGGCAGCATAGTGCACCACACACCAGCTATCAGTGGAGAGGAGAGCAGAGTGACAGAGCCAATTCATAGTTGGGGATTATTAGGAAGCTATGCTTGTTAAAGGCCAATGGAAAATTTAGCCAGGAACACCGGAGTAACACCCCTACTCTTTTCGAGAAACACCCTGGGATTTTTAATAACCATAACCATAACCAAAGTCAGGACCGTGGTTTTTGCGTCTCATTCAAAGGACGGCGCATTTTTACAGTATAGTGTCCCCGTCACCCACTGGCCTCTCTAACACCTCTTCCAGCAGCTACCATAGTTTTCCCAGGAGGTTACTATCCAGGTACTAACTACCTGCTTAGCATTAGTGGTTTGCCAGTTGTGAGTTGCAGGGTGATATGGCTGCTTGATTATCATTGCTTTCTATTAATGCTACTGTTGTTGGTAAATTATTTAGTAATTTTCTTACAGTTAAAACCTTTCACCTATGTGAATCATCATTATTAAATACAGTACAACCTTTGTACTGGAACTTCATAAGTGTAAAGAATATTTTGGGATTTACAATCATTGCATTGTTACATCATTGTCTTGTATTGTTTTATAAATATGGAAATTATTTTTTAACTTTTTATTTAACGATGAAAGGATTTACAAATACAACATATGCAAAGTTAAATAATTTACTGCTTTCATCTTTCATTTTATTATTATATAATTAACTATTTACATTATGCTGTCATAGGAGGTTACATCTAGCAATATAATCAGCAAAATCACAACAAACAACCAACAATTTAGACAAAAGACTGCTTCATTCTCTTTCACAGAAGAAAATCAAGTCTCAATGGAGCCACAAACCCAATCCAGGCTTGCCAGTATTTTCTAAACCTTTCCACTTGTAACCTAAGAGAAAATATGATCTTTTCCATTATATAAATCTCTTTCACAACATTGACCCATTGTTCTGGTGTTGGGTTTTTTTTAGTGAGTCATTTTCTTGTGATAGTTTTCTTACTGGCAGCTGAGTAAGAATTTATCTGGCCTTTGCATCCATGTAGTCAAAAATAAAATTACTTAAATACATGAATAAGCAGCCACCTGAAAATCATTTCATAATGTCATAAACAGTACAAGTGTGTGTGGATTTAGTACAATGCAAAGTATGCGTGCTTATAAAGCTTCATTTTCAATATACCGAATCGTCAGTGTTGGGTGAGTGATTTATGTTCAGTGGCATAAATGAACGGAAGAATTAAGAGCAGTTTGGGTCTTTTTAATTTAACATCCATAAAGAAATCTTGCTTATTCAGCACTAACTCACACAACTGCAAGTGTTACTGAGCTGGGGAAATCAAACACTGGGGAAAGTGTTTCAAAACAGTCTTTGCCAAGGTTAGTCACCTATTACACCTATCTGAACTCAATCATTAGATGAAATGAGCTTTGAATGCTAGTCAGCTTTTTTTTATTTATTATTTACACTTACCTGTCCTGTTGAACCTGAATCCCTCTATTACAGTACATATGCCAGTTCATAGGGTCACAAGACTCTTGATTAGCTCCATGTTCCGTTTTAACTATTGGGTTTCCAGGCTAAACTTAGTTCCTACAGTTTGGTGTACGTTGTTCTTGAAAGCCCTATATTTATGTCATTATTAAACCCCTGTCCATACATCTCAATCATCGTTCTTTATTATTTCCACTTACATTGCTGCTTTATTTTAAAAAAGGTAACACTTTGCTTCTGCGGTTCATCCTTACCAACACACATGCTTTTGTGCCTCTATGTTTTCAGAAGTGAGTTTCTCTGCTTTTGAGCTGTTGCTCTGTTTGTGTTATGACTGGATCTTTAGGCTCAGCTGGTTATTCGCTTGGACCTTTACACACAAGTCCATTAGGATTGTGCAGGCTGACGGGTGCAAGTGCCTGTGATTGATTCTGTAATCAGAGCTCAGCGCAGCGCTGGCTGGGCCATTCTATAACAAAGATGGAAAGGGGGACAGAGCACCCAGCTGCCTCTCTGCCCAGTTACCCAGCGCACTCATGACATGAGAAATGATATAGATTAGCCTCAGATAAGATCTGCAAATTGCACAGCTGGGAAAGCTTTTATGTATTATTATGGATATTGAGAGATCTGTTTAACTCTTCTTGACCTGAGATGTGGCTATAGCCACAGAAAGAAGTATAAAATACTGTGGCAGGAAATGTCCACTAAAACATGAGATCATGGGATGTGTAATATTATTGAAGGACTGCGAATTGCTTATATTATCACTAATATAATTACAGGTAAATATACAAATGAGGTACAAACTTCCATTGTGGCTGGACACACTGATGTTAAATACTGTCTTTCTAGTTTTTGTTCTAGCTTCTAAATCATTATATAGACTTTTCCTTAGTGTGTTTACTTAATATTGGAATCAAACAGTTGATCATCAGTTGATCAAGACATATTGAATTAGATACACATTCATGTACAAATGTAGGAGATTAAAATAAAAATACTGGTCCTATTATTAATACATGATCCACTGTAATAGTGGCTTAATCAGAAACAGAAATCAGATCCCATACTTCTAATGTTTCTGAACTCACACCTTTCCATCTAGATAAGGTATTTTATTTAGATGTAGATCTGAAGCAAACAGTATTAGACTGTAAAAAAACATAAAGTTCACCTGCTTTTCAAAAAGTCAATCAGAAATATTTGGGATCAAGATTGTATACTTCCAAAGTATGCCCATAAAGCACAGTCAGACCTTGTATTTATTAAATTTATGAAATTTGCATAAATGTGATCTTGAAATTTCAGCAAAACACAATGGGCTTTAAGTCTGCTTCAGAAAAGGGAAAGAAATTGCTAAAAGATCATCAACAGCTGCAAAAGATCAAAGACCGTGCCAGCAAATTTGCATTCAGCAGAGGTTCAGTAAAAAAGATATATAGATAACTGCAATCCCTACAGAATGAGCCTTTCATACGATTTCTGGAAACAGAGTAGGTGAAGTAACAGAAGAATATGGGGGATTTTGTCCACAGCTCCAAACTTATCCTGTAATGCTACAAGAACTTAGTTTCTTTAGGAGATTGAGATTGGCATGACCTTTGTAGTTTAACAAGATATTTAAGGAAAGGTCTCAATCCCTCCACCACCAGCCTCTCCTGGTGCTTCTCCTTTGAGCTGTTTCATTCCTCTAATTTAGAAAAATGAGCAGTTTTTTTGTAATGCCAGTACAGTTGAAACGGACCTCTTGCTATCAAACAGTATAGCAAATTGTTGCAAAGTTAAACCCTAAGCTTAGCCATCTTTAACATACTGATATGTGGTTTATGTGCTGCCAGATCATACAGCAACAAGGTCATAGAAATTATATGAAATGCAAAAAGTCTTTTCTATCCCCAAGAAATGATTTCTAGTGTTACATTTGTTCCCGGGTGTAGTAATAACAATGAGATTAACTCTCTGGCCTTTACAAAGAGGGAAAATGAGATATGAAGAACTCAAAGTGTTTCAGATATGATGTCACAAGGGACCTTCTTTAACACAATGGCCTCTGTCAGTAGGAAGACATGTTAACCTATGGATTAATAATAAATAAAGATATACTAAAACAAGCAATGGTAAGAGTGACAATGAACAGTTTTAGTAGTTTACCAAGTATTGTGAATTGCCTTAAAGGCCTTCCATGTGTCTTTGGCAGATCACAAATCTTAAAAACATCACAGGAATGCTTAGTGTCCATCAGGTAACAATGTGATTTATTAAAAGATTGAGTATTGACTAATCATGTTTGCTTTCAGGTGGTAAAATTATGTTGGGAAAACCAGCTTTATGATGCCATGATTTATGTCTATAACAGTGGAATGAATGACTACATCACTCCGATGGAGGTAAGTACTTCTTTAATAAATTTATTAAAAGTTATTTTAACAGAGAATGATTGGATGTTTAGTGCTTTCTGAAATATGAATACCTTTAAAATACCAGTCATGCAGTGTGTGGCAAATCTAAATTGGGTTGAAAAGATTTTTTTTCAAATATTGAGACTGTTTATACAAACTTGTTTGCAGAAGCATATTCAGTTGAAACATGACTCTACTTTTTTTACAACTGGTTTTAGCATTTTCATTTGCTCGCACCTTCACCTCAGTATGTAATGGCCATTCTAAAATTCCACTTGGAACAGAGTGTGAGAATACCTTGGAAGGTGAACCCAGCCAGATGGATGAAGTTATTAGTAGTACCAAAAAAATGGAAACTTGCATCCCAATTTCTCTCCAGATTTTGCAGCTGCCATTTCCCAAAGTTATAGGTATGCTGAAAGCTTGAGTGTTATCTTTTGACCCATTAAGTTGAGTCTGAATACCTTTTCATTCTCAGACTAGGTCATGTTTTCATTTCACGTGCCTATGATGTTAAATGCTCCCTTATTTAACAGCTTCAAGACCATTTATTATCCCGTTGTCTTTTTCAATGCAATCACTGAAGCCTTCAGTGTCTTTCCTTTGAGCCAGTGATTGCCAATAACCTTTAATCTTTAAAATTTCTCTCTAGCTTTTGAAGAATTTTTACAGCGAGTCTTAGAGGTTCGCAAATACAAGCCTCCACTATTGAAAGTAAATGGATGTTCTGTAGAGCAGCCAGTGATAAAAGCTTGGAGAAAATGCAGTTATAGGACTGGTGGGGGGGAGAATTTGCAGTGGATTGAGTTAAGCCTTACAAAAAGAAAGTGTGTAATTAGTTCTTAGTTCAGGAAACACAAGCATTAATTTTAAAAGAGACAGGGAACAGGGTTTATACAAAGATGACTGAGGGCTTTTGAAGATATAGGGTTAAAGCAGAACGAATGAGAATCCCCAGCTTCTCTGCAAGTTTATTTAGAATAAGTTACTATGCACTTATGTGGGCGTCTTTCCAATGGAAAGATCCACTGCCTTAATGATCTTTTTCACAGCTGGCTTTTCACATTACAGGCGTAGAAAGCAAATTCATAAAATCAGACAGGCAAGTAACATTTTTGAAAAACTGATGCTTCTCCTTTGATTAATCAATATCATCAGCTATTATGCATGAACAATTTGGACATTGGGAGAAAAAGATTAAATTGTCCAATCAAAGATTGACATTTACAATTTTAAGATCATGCTTGCTTTGTTAATGGCCTGAGCTTTAAAAAGTTCCTCAGTAGAAAATCAAATGAAGGTCCTTATTGTTAGTTAATGTTGATAAGAAATTCTTATTTAAAAAAGGAGATAGAAAGCACTGTGTGTGTGAGGTTTCACAGGTGGTTTATCACATTATGTCTGCTCATTGGTTTCAAATTGTCAAAGGTCAGAGAAAAAATAAGATATGATGGATGAACACTGTAGCATAAATTTATTTTTTTTAAAAAATTATCTAGCTTTACTGTAATGTTAACTCAGCTAGTCACACATTAAAATGTATCTGGAAAAATAATAAAAATGTGTTGAGGTGTCACTGAAATCTGTGATGTTAAGGTAGGTCTTGTTATTGGAACTGAAAGATTGAGTTGAGGGACAGTGATCTGTTTACAGGGAGCTAGTCAGAAGCAGTTATTTGAGATGGCTAATGCACTTTAAAATTGCATAGAAAGTTGGGCCTTTTTTGCTAAACATTTTTTTATTTTTCTGAAAACGTCAAGGGAATAAAATAAGATCCTGACAATAAAACATCTCAGACAATTTTTTATTTTTTGAGTTTGCTTTCTATTTTTTGCAGACATTTAACATTTAGCCCAAAAAAGAGCATAGTTTGAGCATTTAAGTTTTTAAAATAATTAACTTATGCATCATTGCATCATTTCTAATTTAGCAAAATGGAAAGGGGTTGAATAATTTTGCGTGCACATTTTGTACAAATCAGTAGCGTTTTTATTCTGCTGTATCTGCAGTTGCTGCAGTATCTGAATGGCTGTGAATGGTGTGCCATCTGAATGGTGTGCATTCTGAATGGCTGGATCTCTATACTGTGTAAAAGGGCAGTAGGGTCTGACAAGTTCAGTTCTTGTCTAGAAATCATTCTCCAGAAAGCAGTAGGGAATAATAATGTACCCTCCCTTGTCACCTGACCAATTGGAGAACTAGGACATTATGGTGTGAGATCAGAGAAGTCTGATTCTGATGAGAGTAAACAGAGATGCTGCCCAGCATTTTGTAGAGAGCATTTTCATCTGCTTTTTTTTGTAACTGAATGGGATAAAGAAATCTTTTTTTTCCATCTCGATAAACAGGTTTTCCACTCCCCTGCACTTATGCATATAACTGATCAAGACAGATAACCAGAACTGTACTATATTTCTTACACCAGACATATTTTTTATCCATTGTCTATCTGTTTTTTTTTGTGTGTTCCAGTGTGTGTCATATAGACCAGTTTGTCTACTGTAGCTCTGCTGGAACTCAGAATGTCATCTGTCTGCAATTATTTTTTTCCAAATCTGATACATATATTTGTTTTCATTTGCCTTCAGTTACTCAAATGTTAATATTCTTACATTTGTGACTGAATGCTTTATATGCTCAGATACTTGTAAAAATGCTATGCAGTGTGACTTCAGAAAAACTGCACTCACCTCATGTAAAATGTTAAGGAAAAATAAAGTAAAACCCAACTGGAGCAGCCACAGGGCATGCGGTGAAGTATTAATAAACATTCTTCTTCAGTGAATTTGACAAAATTGACTGTGATCTGACCTTCTTTAAGTGAAGGGGGGTTAAACAGTGTTGCAGAGTTGATCATTTTCTGCATCCAAAAGAAAAAATAAATTATAGTTGCAGGAAATCCATCATATTTTCATGAAGAAAATGGCATGCAATCATTTTTAAATGATGTGCGCTGACATGTTATTGGACAGACATGAAAGATTTTTGATTCATTATTGTGATCAAGATTTGTCATCAGTACTGCCAACTGTAAAATGCATAGGAGAGGTGCCACACCAGAAGCTTAACCAGCAAAGGTGCTTGCTGATGCACAGCTGGTTGTGCGATGCTGAGTTTTGGGTGGGATTAGTCAGTGAAGGCTCTCTTGGCACTCAAATTGCAGACATGGTGTCTGTGTGGGCCGAATCCACTGAGCCTCAGGTCAGGAGAATGTGAAGCTTGTGATATGTTAAAAGACGAGTAATTTGAAAGCAGACAGATCAGTTGAGTTTCCTTACACTTTCTTGTTCTCCCATGTGCAAGGCTGCAGGATTCATTGCTGCCAGCTGAGATGTAAACAACATGCAATTGGCTATTACAAGTTGGGGTTGGTATAACAAAAAATAATTGGTTATGAATTTTTTTAACTATTCACAGGTTAGTAGCATCTATTAGAAGTAACACAAGCTGTACACTCTATGTATAATGCAGCTTTGCATCCGGTTGCAGACGGTGTCTTGTGAGAGTCTGTCCCATTCCTCTCGTAGAAGCTAGACAGGCATGTGTCTGTTCCCTGGTCTCTAAACAGGTAATCTCAGTTTAACACGGAAATTTTCAATGGGGTTCAAGTCTAGTGAATGTGTAAATGCCACATTCTCATCTCACTACACAAACTTGAAGACATACAGGACTTTGTCCTGCTGGCATGTTGTCACACCAGAAATGGGGGCAAGTTACAGTCTTACAGTCAGATTTCCATCGAAAACTTGATGCAGCCTGTCATTTGTCGTGCAGTGGAACTGGCGAGACAGAAATAAAGAATGATAATAGGTGAATCTTGGCAAAGTGTCAGTTTCCCAGATCATGACTTATCACTGATTGGCTGGAATGTCATGCCAAATTAGAAATTGTTGTGAAAATACCACACAAATTAGTACCAACAAACTGATGGCCCAAAGACATTGTGTTTTATAAATAAGATTTATAAGGTCATTTTGGTTTTTGTTTTTTATTTTCACCAAGGTTAACATGCAACATGATAAATCCTCTCATCTTCTTTGCCCAGTTAACTTCTATTCTATTCAGTTAACTAACTATTCAGGTGATATAATATTATGAAATTGTAGTCCCTTGACTTCTATAATTAATTAATTGAACAAAAGCAGTTAATCAGCATCCAAAAAATTGTATACTTAATTTGTTTTAGGAACATACATGCCTAGATAAAGATTTTAGTTTCTTTTGGTACTTGTTATAACATTATGAATGTTTCAAGGACGAGGGAAAGATTATAGGATCTGTAGAATTGAATTTTGAGAAGGCCCCATAATGTGGTCAGAGCTGAGAGATTCAGAGCTGCTGTCCCAGCTGAAATTTAAAATTACCTCTTTATTATTCTGAAGGACATATTTGAAAACTCTACCCTGCATACATTCCACCACTTACAAGGTCAATATTTTCTTCCGGATTTTTTTATACCTCAGGCCTTGTTAATTTCTTTGTGATTCTGGTCTTTCTTGGGATTCACCTCTACTCCCTCACCACTGTAGGATCTATTTAATAATATCTGTTTAATTAGGGTTGCTTCCACATAAGTACACAGTTACACATATTCTTCTTTCCCACAGTATTAAGCCCCTCTCAGTGTTATCGGTTTAGAATTTAGAGTTGAAAAGGGGGAACCTTACTTTAGACTGGGAGGTGATCTTGAAAAATATATCTGCATTATTTAAAAAATTAGTTTACCATCTTGTATAATTTGGGTCATATGCAGCTTGATTTATGATTTATGAGATCAGATTATGTTACAAATAAACCATTATTAACAACTCTGTACATCCAGGGTAATTGTCACTTATTTACTTGTTTTGGGACAAAACTTTCTCTGAAGTATCTCAGTTAACACATTCAAAGATTGACAAGGAATATTTCTTAGCAGGAATGGCTGCAGCAAATAAATCTTTTCTGAAGAGATGGATAGAGCTTGCTATTTCTTTTTTGTGTATTTGGTTAGGATATTTACATTATATTTTGCTTCTAGAAAGGTCCATACCATGGCAGCACTCAGCCACTATCATTACGTTGACAGCTTGCATCACTGCTATTAAGATATAATTCAGATTCTTTGTATAGTATGTTTATCTCCCTTTTTTCTTCCTATATTTTTACTAAAACATTGTAAAGTACATTGTGTTTTGCTAACAAAGTCTATATGGTCAGATTTATTCTCTGATTGCTTTCATGTTTCCTCCCCTTTGGGGAGGTTGGAGCTTAAATAAAAATATAATGTTAAAATAACACATTTCTTTCCATTTTATTAAATAATGAAATAATTAGATAAATTAATGTTAACAGGGGCATTAAACTTTTGTTTAACAAAAACTGTGCTCCAGTTTTTGTTGCATATACTGTACCTTGTCCATTTATATTTTTAGTGCTGGAAAATAAAATGTTTTTATATACATTTAAAAAATCTTTTATTTTTGGATTAAGATAAAAACTGTCTACAAGGACACTGCATGCATTTAGTCTTCAGGTGCAGGCATTTGGGACTAAAAGAGATAATCCAACAAATTCTGCTGATTTGTGTTATTCTTGATAACAGTTACTATCTTTATGTCCACTCAAACATGCTGAGCTTACTGGGTCTACAGTCCCCTGTAGGGAAAAGAATTGGGTATGAGATCATAACTATCTCCGTAGGAGGTAGGTATGACTCAAATGGAACCTTAAATCAAATGGTACACATTTTTCATTTTACACATTTTTATTTTGTTAATGTAGGACTCTGTTTTAGTTTTAGCTACATATTGTTCACCACAAGCCAAATTTACCATATAAAATTCCACTGTAAAAATATTTGAGCAGTATTTCCTTTTGGAAAATGCAGCAAAATGTGCCTTTTATTATTCCATAGCCTTTTATCTCTGGTTCTGTTGTGTTTTTTAAGAAAAACAATGAGCATTATTTTCTGTATTAATACCACAAGAAGGAATTGTCTGTTGCAAGTCAGCTCTGCCTGTCAGAGCAACCCCAGGCTCAACTGTGATGTCTGTGATATGTGTCACATCACTAGTTTAGCCATTTGGGAGATTGTTCTATTACTTTCTAAAAAAGCTGTTAAAGGTTTACTAACTTTTGTTTTTCAAACCATGAAGCTGTTGTAACTCTTCAAGCAGACATTGATGCCTATTTTTTACAAGTGAACTATGAAAATATGTATTATATATTTTGCTCTTTATCTGTAATTATGTTATTTTTCAGAAACTGTTCCAGGTAATTGCTCCCCCACTACAAGCAGGCAAATCTCTCTCAGGTAAATCTGCAGTTTTCTTACCAATAACCAACTCCTTGTCCTGTGAATATTCATTTCCTGGAAACGATTTGAAATGTTTTTGCAAATTTTCATATAATCAAGAGATGATTTGACCGCATTAATATATTGTTGAATAAGCCCAGAATTTTTATTATAATTTGAAGAAACTAAAACCCATGAAATGGCAATCCTTTATGGCAACAGGATTTTAAGAGAATGATCGACATGGATTTCTAAAAGGCAGATGTTTTTTGTTTTCATTTGAACAAGCAACAGTAGCAGTGGCTACAAATAAAGCTTATGACATGGTATATTTACATCTTCAGAAGAATTTTGATCATTTACTCATATAAAAAAAATATTTTTTCTGTTTCAGGCAGTAGACATTCATGGTACTGTGTATTTGGACCTGGTTAGTGAATAGGAAACAAAGAGTATAAATACATGGGGTCAATGCTTTGACTGAGGCAATGTAATTGGTGGAGTAGCACAAGGATCTGTATTAGGACCACTTCTTTTCTTTATACAAATGATCTAGATTCCCCTATTATCACTAAATCAGTGAAGTTTGCAGATTGTAGGATGATTAGGAAACACTGCACAAACTGCAAAAATACAAAATAATTATAGATAGAATTTAAGACTGGGTAAACAACAGGTGAGTGACAGAGGGGTGTTATGCAGGTAGCAAAACATAAACTGTAGTTACAAAATAGGAAACACAGAGCTTGAAGAGGCTATACATGAGAATGTTTATGTAAGTGCAGTATTTTCAAATCACAGGCATTTTGGGGGTAAGCAATGCAAAAGCTACAAGAATGTTTAATATATAGTTAAATTAAGGGATTTTAACTACAGTGCTCTAGTAGAAGCACATGTAGATTACTGTATACGGTTTTGGTCACAAAGATAGGAGAAAGTAAATGCTCCTCTGAAATCAGATACATTATAATTCTGAAAGCAGATATGTTCCTGCACTAAAATGATTGTCATACACTGATGGGCTAAAAAAAACTTTTTGTCATTTACTGACTAGACTTCTCTACCATTGGAGCTGATTCAAGCTCTTAAATTCCCCTAAGGCATTGAGTAACTAATTCCTCTGAGAACCGACAGTGCACATTAACTAGATGACACAAGTGCAAATTATGGGGGAAGGGCATTTAAAATTGAGAACAAATAGCATTTATTTGCATAAAGGATTGCAGGAATATGGAACAGACCACTCAGCCATGTTGTTGAAGCTGATATCCTTCAAAACACACCTGAAGGACATCCTTGCTCCCTTTAATGAAAAAAAAAAAAGCTAGACGGAGTGAATGGATGACCACTTCTTTTTGTAACCATTCTTATCTCCTTAAAATAAACTAAGAATCTAGTGAATTTCTTCAAATCCTGGGGTTTTCCTTGCCCTTGAGATGAGATGGAGAGGTGATAAAATTATGTCAATAACTGATTGCAACTCACCATATTTATTTTGTTCTTTTTAAAATATTGGAAAAGAAATGTTTTCATCCTGGTCAAATGAATATGTGATATGTGTCAAGTGTGGATAGTGGTTTTGTGATAGTGGGGTAGATATTAAAATAAAGAACTGCTGATACTTAGCATTTTATTCTAACACACAGAAGGTTTTAAACCATTGTATCTGAGCAGTGTCTGACTTCTTTTGGCAAACAGTTCAAGTTAGCCAGCTTCTGCATCTTTGTTGCTGGCAAAGTTATTTCTTCTCTGAAGATAATTCTGTGGAATCCAGGAAATAAATGTAAAAGCACCGCAGTCCTAAAAAACTGTGAAAACTGATAAGGAAACAAAACTGATATTTACCAGTATAGTTAGCAATATGTGATGTCTGTGATGGTATATTCAGCTTACCAGAACTCACAGATACAAGCTGGTGACCCATATGTTGTTTTATTTCATTTCATATTGTGTTTCTATTTAAATGTTTTACATTGTGTTTTGATTTTACACTGTATGCTAACTGTTTTTGTGAAATTTGTTTCTAAATGCGCATCTTACAGCTTATGTGAGAAGAAAAAAACACATAAATCAAAGTAATTATTGGATTTCTGGTGGTTTTTTTTTTGTTAAAAAATGTACAGAACATTTATGTGCTAGAACAGTTAGTTAACATATTATCAAATAATTCAATGATTGGAATATTAGTGTGTGTGCACAAAATTGTTTTCCAGTGAAAATACTGTATTTCAATAAGCATAATTTTGTCTCTCTTACAGATGACCAAATCATAATGGGCAATAAGCTACTGGTATACATAAGGTAAAACAAATTATTTACTGTTTATGTGACTCCTTTAGAATTGTTTAGCATTTTCAATCTGTAGGCATAAACAGTGCTACTTATCCTCAGATCTCTACCAGGTACCACTAATAACTAATAAATACCTTTTTAACTTTGCTAGTTAAGAACAGTATTACTCAAAGCTAGTTAATAGTAATACAGAGCTTCATTTGAAGGACAGGAGTTTGGATCCACAGACTGAAATATAAATATTGGTTTTGTTTTTGTGAAATATAGCCCATCACAAAGCTTGCTGATGTCCACTCTCCAGACCTCTTGTAATCTCTTTCTGACTGTGTCTCTCTCTGGTCAAGATCACATACTCATAGAATGGACACTGAATGCCATGATGCACATCATCAATGGAATGCTATCCTTCACCCCAGAACTCCCCTGGTTCTCTGTCGTAGCAAACATCACTCTACACTCTTTGATTCGCGTAAAATCCACACAGTTCTCAATAAGGTCCAAAATGCTTCTCACCTGCCAATACATGAGAACATATTTTTATTATTATTATTATTATTATTATTATTATTATTTTATTTTAGAGAACAGATAAAACCATGTTATATACAGATAACATTGCACAGCACTCCTATAATACACATTTACCAATACACATGAAAATATAGTCTGTTCTTATCTGTTCCCTTAATATTTTCCCCAGTATGGTGTGCCATCTGCCTCGGAGTAATAAATAACCTAACTGTTTTTCCCAGCAAAACTCTCTCCGTATGGGAGTTCAACTCCATTGGAATTTTGAAAATTGTAAACCACTGTTCATTTGAAATCCTAACTTTACTTTCTTTTTAACATACACTGTAGAATGTGATTTCTTTTCCATAAAACCTTTATATAATCTAGATATAATACCCATACTTGATTTTTACTTGTAAGATTCCATAACTACTTATACCACCGCATCATCAACAATATCTAATTCCTGCTTTTTAATATCACTATTAAAATAGTGGCGGACTAGGAGGTGATTCTGTTTTAAAAACTGAAAGCTTTGTAACTGTTTTTATTACATTATAGTATAAAATGCTGTTATTCCTTTTGCTATCCAAACTTTAATTTATCATCTAATTTTTTTGGTTTAAACTCTGTATCACAGGCACACCATCTGAGTGCCTTTACTGCATCATTTAAGTGATACTCTTTTATAACTGAATTCCATATCTTTAGCTATGGATTATGTATTTTTTAATGAGTTTATCTAAGTTCTTGCCTAATAATGCCTGAATTGGGGGGTTACTCACAAAGGATGATTCTACGTCTTTCCTCCTGATAACTGGATTGCAAGAATTAATCAAGGGTTTAATTTGAGATGCATAATAGTAGTCTTTCAAGTTCAGAAAAGCCATTCCTCCTTTATCTTTGGAAAGTTGAAATGTTTTGAATCTTACTCTTGTTTTAACCCCTGCCATATAGATCTAGAAATGATCTTATCCCATTCCCAGAAATTTTTTGAGAAAATTCTACAGGGAGAGTTTGAAATAAGAACAGTAATTGTGGTAACACATTTTTAATTTTCTTGCCAACAGCTTCAGTGACCTTGACCCTGACTCATAATATTTCTGTCTAGTAAATCCAATATTTTTAATTGCCTTACCTTCTTTTTATGAATGCTCAGAGCAATAATTCTCCTCCTTATAACTGGCTTTAATGTGTCTCATATCATCTCTAGTCCCATTTCTCCACTATCATTCTCTTCCAGAAATGTCTTTATTTCTTTTTTTATTTTATTTGCTCTTTAATTTGTGGATCATTCAGAAGACTCAAATTCAACCTCCATGTTGTATTTCTATGATTGTTACTTAATTGTGGACAGTGACATAGGAGCATGATCTGAAAAAAAAATTCTACCAATATCACAATATCCTATGTCTATCTCTTTTATATACAAAGAAATGACCAAACTAAGAGTATACTGAAAGAGGAAAGGAATAGTGGTATGACTGTGCCCACTTGGATAGAAATCTATCCAAAGATATATGAGTTGAATCAAGCCTAGGATTCAAATGTACATTCCAATCACCTCCACATATCATTATACCTTGTCCATTTGCCATCAAGGAATCCTACTCTCTTGGGCTCCTGTGCAAGGCCCTTAACCCCAGCTGCTCCAGGGGCGCTGTACAATGGCTGACCCTGCACTCTGACACCAAGCTTATCTCCCTGTCTGTGTGTCTCATGGAAAGCAAGCTGGGTTATGCAAAAAAGACAAATTCCTAATGCAAGAAATTGTATATGGCTAATAAACTGATCTTACCTTCCTTAATCCTATGTGAAACTCTGCAGTCTCTCAGCCTTCTGGCAAGTAAATAGTCACTCGATCTCTTATTCCAATGTAGGAGGATACGGTATAACTTTAACTTTGAATCCGCTCTCTGCCATATCCTTCGTGGCTTCTGCTGCTGAATGGAACAGACAAGTGGCATCTTCATAGAAAATCTGTAGTCTCGCTGGAAATGTAATCTGAAATTGTATTTTTGTTTGACTTCAGCATATTGTTTACTTACTGTAGGAGTATTCAGTCCGTGTTTTGAGTAGTGCTGGTGTCTGGGCTTATGGGTTTTGGTACTAGCACCCTTTTAATTCTGAATTCCATGTCCTTTGGCAAGTCGAGTTCCCCCCACAGAAGATTTTCAATGAAAGTAGCCGTGCAGTGTTCCTCTGATTCTTCAGGAATACCATGATTGCGAATCAAGGTCTATTAGTTTCATTTCCAGAGAATTTTGTCATCTCAAAAACTTCTTTATCACCATTTATATTGTTAGCACCCTTGTTTCAACTTCTTCTATTCACCCCTCTATCTCATTCAATTTTTTTATTAACTTTACTTAACTCCTGTTTAATATCCATGAGCTGCTGTTTTTAATCTCATCTGAATTCTCATAAATTCCTCCAGTATTTTCTGGAGACTAATGTCTTGTTCATCTTGTTCGGAACTCGCTGAGCTATTTCGACTATGTTCAGGAGGCGCTATTTCAAAATTCTCAACAGCTGGTAGCTTTCTCCTGTTTCTCCTCAGAGCCCCTTCATCCATAATTATTATTTCGCAAACTTAATGTAAAGAAAAAACAGTATTTTAAGGGCTTTATTGCAAAATTGTCGGGAGACAATCTGTATTACACCGCCATTCTAGTCTGCTTCCTAACCAGACGTCTATGAGGACATATTTAATACAACTAAGTCACGAGTCAATCTGGAACAAAACCCTTCATTTAGTACAGATTCCACCTGGGCTCAAGAATGAGGATCACCGGACTTAATAAGCAAGCACCACCTCATCACATGCCCTATCCAACAACCTCCTGGCTATCACCTTCCAAAAAAAAAGTGACACACTCTAAATCTCTTTAGGACTGGTCATAATCCATGTTTTGACAACCTCTATAGATGGAGAATCGGTGTTCTCTTTGTTCCTGTTGATGGGGCAAATACAGCACATGCTGCAGGACTGCCAAATCCACAGATTCAGTGAAGAACTAAATGCACTCAACCAGGTGGACCAAAAGCTATCGCTTGGCTCAGGGACTTGGCATTTAATAATTAATAATAATAATTAATTACACTTATATACTGCTTTTCTAGACACTCCACTCAAAGTGCTTTACAGGTAATGGAAACTCCCCTCCACCACCACCAATATGCAGCATCCACCTGGATGATGCGACGGCAGCCATAGTGCAACAGAACGCTCACCACACATCAGCTATCAGCAGGGAGGAGAACAGAGTTCTGAAGCCAATTCATAGATGGGGATTACTAGGAGGCCATGATTGGTAAAGGCCAATGGGAAATTTGGCCAGGACACAGGGTAACACCCCTACTTCTTTTGAGAAACGCCCTGGGATTTTTTTTACCACAGGACCTCGTTTTTAGGTCTCATCCGAAGGACGGCGCCTTTTAACAGTATTGTGTCCTCGTAACTATACTGGGGCATTAGGACCCACACAGACCGCAGGGCGAGCACCCCCTGCTGTCTCCACTAACACCTCTTCCAGCAGCAACCTTAGTTTTTCCCAGGAAGTCTCCCATCCAGGTACTGACTGGGCTCACACCTGCTTAGCTTCAGTGGTGCTAAGCCAGTTGTGAGTTGCAGGGTGATATGCTCTGGGAAGGTTGGGGATATTGAGTCCACTCCTCCTCATTCCTCACTGGGAAAGCCTATGCCAGAGTGCTGGATAGGAGACTCTGCCCAAACCTCAAACCTCAGATACAGGATTAATAAAGCAGAATCCATTCTGGCCATGGAACAGTAGACCAATTTTTTGTACTTGTATGGATATTTGAGGAGGCATAGGAGTTTGCCATCCTGCTTACATGTTTTCTGTACTTGGAGAAGGCTTACAGCCATGTACCCCAGGGAAGAGACCCCATGGCAGACATAGGACACATTGGAGGCATTATAGACTTTTTCCTTACATCTTCTAGACAAGAAGATCGTCTTCGACAATGTGAGAAGCAATTCAAAAGGAACAAAAGTGCTAGGGTATATAGTCATTAGTGTAGAATTTCAATCAACACACATTATGCTAAATTTTATCTTTTGTGTCTGGTTCTTTCTTATTTCTTGGTGTTTGCTAATGCATGCAGTTAGGCAGTTTTCAGGGATATTACTTCAAGATGGTCGTATGTCTGTAGCTCAGGCCACAGCATATTTTGGTTAAGCAGCATCTGTGTACCAGAGGACACAAGTGGAAACTATGTGGAAGTGTAGAGGGGATATCAAAAGTCTACATACCCTTTTTGAAGCTTTTGTTGATGTAAAGACAAGTCATGTCAGACCTTCTTTCACCTTTAATGAGATATTGTAATCAACAATATTTAAGTAAAAAACAAATGGATAATTTTTAGGAAATAATTAAAAATAAAAGAAAACATTTAAATCCTTGGTTGCATAAGTATACACACCCTTTAACCAAAATTTTGGGGAAGCACCTTTTGCTTTGATTACAGCAGTAAGTCTGTTTGGATGGGTCTCTTATCAATGTACCACACCTGTATTTTGCAATTTTTATGTATTTAAAATCTAGTACACTATCTAGAATCACTTATTTATCAGAAGGGTTGTGTGAGTATAGGACAAGCTACCCAGCCATTTTGTTAAAGTCAATACACTGGATTGTTTTAAGAAGCAGACAGATGACATCTTTGGATCAATTAACTACTAAATACCTCAAGAGCTAGATTGTTTGAATGGCCTCTTCTTGTTTGTAACCTTTCTTTTGTTCTTACATTTCCAATAAATGTTTTCATGTGTTTCATTTGTTTGGCTTCTTGCTTCAATTATTTTTACAGAAACTATGCACAAATAGACATAAAATTTAAAAAAGGAATTTTAATGAGTTCTAGTATTACTAAATCTGTATAGCTGTAGAATTAAAAATGACCAGTTTTATCATTTGATAAATATTGCAGCATATAGCAACTGTGAGAGGCTGAAATAAATAATGGGCTGAAGGAGATTTAGCCTTACCAGAGGCACAAGAATTCAATACCACTTAAATACTTAAAGAATCCTTGAGCAGACATAAGAACACATGTGAGGAGCAGCAGTCATTTGACCCTTTATGAAATTCCTGATTAAATCTGTAATCAGAAATTTGTGCATCTGCGATAGTTAAATAGGTATAGTGAAAGGTTCTGTTTTACTTTTTACAACATTTCCTTTTTTCTCTCTTAGCTGCTGCCTGGCAGGACGTGCTTACCCTCTTGGGGACATTCCTGAAGATCTTGTTCCTCTAGTAAAAAACCAGGTATGTAATTTGGGGACCTCCTATTGAAACTCAGTAGTGTAAAACTCCATAAGGGATTGCTTAGGTAAAAGCAAACATTGGCACGTCTCTTACACATGCAAGAATATTCGAATGGGTAACATGTCAGTCAGTATCCTGGATAGCATATGTCACAGTGTTTTTATTTTTTTGAATAGTCTGATACAAAACTGCATGACTTATTAATAATAATATATCTGTAAAACTACCAGGAGGGGTGGTGAATCTTTAAAGTACTGCAGCTGTATAAGTACTGTAAAACACTAATATGTATAACATACTGGCCTGTTAACTGTATTGCTTACGGTATACAGAACTATTAGTAATTGTGAATAAGTAGTAATTAAAATATAGATCATTTTACTTTTATATTTTATATTTTAAAAATATATTATACATAGTGGCTTTAAAACATCGTATTTAGAAGCAAATAAATGCATACAAACAAAAAGGTTAAAATAAGTTATGAGTAGTGATTTCAATTACTTTTTTGGTCATATGCCATAATTTACATTACTTTTTGTGTTTGTGTAAATAGTCAAATAAAATGTCTCAAATATCTTAATGTAACCACAAGAGTTGTTGTATTAGCCTTATAAAGGGAAAATTAGGAAACTTTTTTTCTTAAATTAACTAGCGTGTCATAATACTTCATAGCTGTGTCAATATTTTTTACAAAAGTGAAAAAGTAGTCTAAGGAGTTTCTCATTGTATCCTTATTTAATAGATACACAATTTCAAAAGACATAGGGGCAATTTGTTAAAGAAAGTACAGTCTGTGCATTGGTCTGGAATCAAACCCATTACTTCATTACTTCATTACTTACCAGTCCTCCTCTGTGGTAAGCAAGAATTCTACTACTGAACAACCATTTGTCCCTCTGATTGGATGTGTAGGACACATTAAGGCACAATATAGATTATCTCAATGTGCATGTAAACCTGAAAGAAGCACATCAGTTCACAAGAAGCCACAGTAGAATAATAAACTATTTTTCATATATCAAACTAAGTAATGTTGCTTTTGTACTGTTACTCTCTTTTTTAATTAATTCAATATTTGAAATACTGGAGTGTACAGTTTAAAATGAATAAATGTCTAAGCAGTATACAACTTAAATTCTATAATTGGGATTCCAAACCAGGGGTTTTCTGGCGACAGACCAAATGCTTCTACATGCCACGTTAAGCTTTCACTGCTCAACCTGATGGTTTCACAAAGTAGTGCACTATATACAACTTAGTATTTTTAAAAAGGCGTGGTAAGCCGCAGCACCTGAAAGGCAAAGTACTTATCCCCTGTGCATTCTGAATGGCTGAATCTATATCTTCTCTCTAAATTGCGGGTTTTTAGGCAAGCATGAAAATGTTTGTCTTCCTGCCAAAGGTGAGCAATTCTAAGTCAACCTATTATCACAAGGATACTTGTGATCACAAGCAGACTGCCTGTTGTTGTTTTGCACACTGCCTGTTGTCTCTGTCTTTCTTTTATTATACAATTGTATTGTTGTTTTTTGTACTACTTATCATCTGAGATAGCATTTCGTTATTACCATATACCTGTATATGAGTATAATGAAAATAAACTTGAACTTGAATACTTACCCAGTAGCTCTCACAACATGCTTGATTTTGCAGAAGATAAGACTTGATTCATGTACAAAACATTTTGCCATAGTTCATAGGAGTACTTACTAAGGCAGCGTTATCCATGAAAATGCTCTAATAAATGGTGTAATTGAGTTATGAAGTTCAAACAAATACTGTTTAACAAAACAAGTAGTCAGAACAGTGTAGATACAGAGGAAATCACTTTCAGCTTTATAGTTAAGACAGTTACTGAGGCAAAGCTCCTCTTTCCAATCTCTTCTACACAAAGTTAAATCTTATTAAGTGTGATTGTACATGAACTGTTGCCTTAACGAGAATGTGCTTGAAAACTCTAAAACCTCAGCTATATTTTGAATAGACTCTGCAGCTTTTTTTGTAAGGGTTGTAATGAGTAGCAGCTGTCTCATTAGTGCTTTTTAATCTCTATAGTGCTCCTCATGCACTCCTAGGTGGCATAGTGGGTTTTAACATGGGAGAATCCTTTATTTTTCCCATTGTGCAGTGTATCATGAAGTTAAATACGGTGCCTAGAAATCCGTAATGTAGAATAAACCAGAAAAAATAGATGACATCTAGTGTATAAATTACAGACCACATGGTATATTTGCTTTGTGTTTATTTCCCCCAATTTGTCTTTGTCTTATGCACAGAGAAATTAAGAACATTATGTGACAGAGCATTTCTGATCTTCTTTCATTGAAGTCATCTACATAATTAACATATAAGAGATTTTCTATAGGGGTTGATATATCCTATATTTATTTTGCAAAAAAACTTTGAGTTGTGGAAAGGCACAAGTCAGGAGATGGGAATTGTTGTAACAGAAAGAATAAGGTTCTGGATCCCGAGATGAAGTTAAACAGATGAGTTAATTGCATGCAAGGAACAATAAAGCTGAAGTCTCGTTTCCCGCAAGAAACAACAAAACCGAAATATTGTTCAAGGTGCCGGTACAAATTTTAGGTTTATATACAGTAGTCCTTCCTTGCTGCTTCTGACGTCATTCGTTATTATGGTAAAGGGGGGAGGTCACGTGTTTGGCCAAATGGTCAGGGATTAAGTCCCAAGGGGGTTCCCTAGCTCTCCTAGCTCACATCTGGAATCCTTATCAGTTAACCCCCTTTCCTGCCATAAACTCCTGTTGCTTAGAAGTCTAATCTTCATGCAGAAAGGACTTAAAGTTAACATTTTGTATCTTTCTCCAGTATTAAAACATTTCAAAGGCTTTAAGTATCCCATGGAGCACAGTCATGACCATCATTAAGAAGTGGAAGGCGTATAGTACCACCCAGACCTTGCCTAGATCAGGCCATCCCTCCAAACTGGATGACCGAGCAAGAAGGAGACTGATCAGAAGGCTACCAAGAGACCGATGGCAAGTTTGAACGAGCTACAGGCCTTTATGGCAAAGACTGGTCATCACAAATGCTCCACAAATCTGGTCTGTATGGGTGGGTGGCAAGAAAAAAAGCACTCCTTAAAAAAAGCCACATGAACTCTCATTTATGTTTTGTTAAAAAGCACCTTAAAGATTGTGTGGCCAAGTGCTGTGGTCAGAAGACCAAAATCAAACTCTTTGGCTGGAATGCAAAACGGTACGTGTGGCAAAAACCTAATACATTTTACCATCCAAAGAACACCATTCCTACAGTAAAGCACGATGGTGGCAGCATCCTGTTGTGGGAATGTTTTTTTTTAGCTGGGACTGGGGCACTTGTCAGGATAGAAGGGAAGATGGTAGATGGTAGGCAAATTCTAGAAGAAAACCTGCTGCCCTCAGCCAGAAATTTGACAATGGGAAGATGGTTCACAGAAAATGGGAAGATGCACAATTACCAAAGCACACCGCCAAAGCAACTGTACAGTGGCTGGACAGGAAGGTGAATGTCCTTGAGTGGCCTAGTCAGAGCCCCGACCTAAATCCCATTGAAAATCTTTGGAATGACTTGAAGAGGGCAGTCCATCAACGGTCACCACACAGTTTGACTGAGCTTGAACAATTCTCTAAGGAGGAGTGGGCAAATATTCCTACCTCTAGGTGTGAAAAGTTGGTAGAGATGAATCAAAACAGACTCAAGGCTGTAATTCAAGCAAAAGGTGCTTCCACCAAGCATTAACTCAGGGGGCTGTTCTCTTATCCAACCCAGTTATTGTACTTTTTTTTCAGAAATTTTGCTTTCTTTTTTCGCTTGGGTGTTACAAAGTACAATTTGTTAATAAAACTGGAAAAAGTCTGATTTTATTTGTCTTCTTTTTAGGCTTTAGGGCAACAAAAGGTGAATATTTTGAAAGTGGGTGGTGACTTTCTGTACCCACTGTATGTTTTTGTGTTATATGTATTTGTATTCAGTTGTTCAGAGACCTACTGAAGAGATTTCTGAAAGAGATGTGACTGGCAGAATAAACAGTAAATAAAATAATGCTGAAATGTGAAGGCAATGTTGCTGCATTTTACATCTTCAAACTTAAAACCAGAACAGCTTTTGAAAGTTCCAACTGAAGTGACTGTTTAATTGGGATTAGTCACTGTGGAGTCCTTCATTTGTCCTCAACTTGAGCAAAACCAACATTTTCTCCAAAGCTTCCAGAGATTCTTTACACAAACTACGATAGCATTAGCTGTTCTGTTCCTATCTAGTCTCCTTTTTTACTTCTGATTGTCTTTTTGTCCCTCACCAGCTGACACTTAGTTTGTTTGAAAATCACTGTTAAGTTTGAAACGTCACTTTGTAATTTAAACCCATGCCTTTTTGTATTTGAACTGCAATGCCGCTTCCTCTTTGAATGACATGATTTGTCAGGAGTTATGCAATCAGTAAAAATAGAACAGTAACTAGAGAATTGGAAAAAGCAGTTAACAGATACAATTTTTTTAGTTTAAATGTATAGGAAGGAGCTTTCTCAGAAAAAAAAAACACTCCTGAAAAGACAGGGAGAATAAAGAAAACTTTTCTGCAAAAACCCTTTACCAAAGTTGCCATGTCTGAATGTATCAATTTAAGGTATATTTTAATGTATAACTATTCATGTTTTTCTGTCCAATTTCTTTAGAAGTGGCTTTAAGTCTACCAGGTGCAAATGATGAGTTCAGTGGAGGAGGCTCAGAGATTTTTTAATCTAATCCGTATCCTGAGATCCTGTTGGGCCTTTACATATGTTATCTCAGATAAGGATCCTATACTCAAGGGATTAAATTATTTGAGGAGATCCAGACATACCTGGATTACTATTGAGGTTTAATTGTACCATTTATTCAGAGTGATATAAGACATTCCTTATAGAGGTGTGAACTGTTGAATATTTCCAAATGCTAACAAATGTAAACTAGAAGGATTACTTTCTGGTTTTGGTTCCTCCATTCCTTGGTATAA